TGGTGATGGTGATGGTGGTGGTGGTGATGGTGGTGATGGTGATGGTGATGGTGATGATGGTGGTGATGGTGATGGTGATGGTGGTGGTGGTGATGGTGGTGGTGGTGGTGATGGTGCTGCTTCTGATTGTGGCAATACTGATGTGACAACAGGGATGGTGACTAGAATCCAGTTTTCAAGAACAAGAATAAACCAAATGAGCGATACTCCAACCACCATGCATACATGTGAGCATCGCCGAGGACCTCAAGTCTCTCCAAGAGCTGCTGACTTCCAGTCTGTTCCCATCCCTGGACAGGCAGGGGCTGCCAAAGCCTCTCCTCCAGCCCCTCCTCAGAGGAAAGCCCTTGCCCTGCCAGCTGGGGCTTGGAGTTCCAGATTCCTCGCAGGGGTAGAAGTCACCCCTGAGCACAGCTGTCCACACCCACACACAGCAGCAGGTCAGTGGGACAGAACCTGGAGAGGAAGGTGGAGCCGCCTGACCTGTTCCACTCAGGCCTGGTTCTTGCATCGTCCCTGCAAGCAGACAGCACTGTCCCCGAGCAGCGGCAGAGAGCGTGCCAGGCTGTGGCCACCTCATCTTGCCGCACCACGTGACGGGCTCTGGCCCTCAAAAGCCTGGGAATTTGCACAGCTCCACAGAGATTTTAGGCAGCAGCTGCCACCCACTGGGCAGACGCCTGCTATGTGGACGCCTTGGGGTCCCTGGCTGGCGAGTCGGGTTTATCTAATGTGTGCAGGCACAGGGAAGCGCCGTCCTGAACTAATCGAGTCCTGACAGCGCCACAGCTAGGACCTCTAACCATCAGGGAAAGAAATTCAATTTCCTTTTGACTTGAAATTAATTTTCAGAAGAAATTGCTTTATCGCTATGCCTTGGGACGCCTTCCAGCCGACTCCTGCTGCTTTGCGGAGAGGACCTGTCCTCAGCCAAAGGTCCTGTCCTGGGCCAAGGAGCCGGGGACACTGTGTCTGGCCCAGGACTGGCCGAGCTGAGCTCCAGGAGACACATCTCGCCGCCCCGGGGATCTCGCTGGCCTCCAGGCAAATATTTGGGGAGCAAGGACAGCTGGTCTGCTGGCTGCCAAGTGGACAATCACCTCCCCCATCTCTTCCTCCCCTAGGAATCCAGGGACTGCAACGCGGCCGGCACAGGCTCCCGCACCTCAGAGAAGCATCACTGTGAGCCAGCAGCAGTGGTGTCCGTGGGCCGCCGACGGCCATGACCTGTGCCGTGAGTGGGGCCGTGGCTGAGTGGGGTCACGGCTTCCGCCACCCCAGGCTCCACAGCTCAGCATTCCACGAGTCTCACGGGCCAGGAGATGGGGCCCACGGCTCAGCACACATTCCTCTTGCGCAGCTGGCTGGCCAGGAGCCAGCTGATGGCCGATAGACACTTGGCCCGGCTCAAGCTTGGGCCCCAGAACCCTGCACGGCCGGGACAGCTCATCAACACATCCTGGAGCCAGCACATGATATCGTTCAGGAGAATGTGAAATTCCCCAGGATCCGGAGAGAACTCGGCATCTGGACAGACCGACAGGAAGGCCCAGAAAGGATTTCAGATATCCTCTAGACTTTGTGCCGCAGATGGGGAAACTGAGGCCCAGAGAGCAGTCCCACAGAAGGCTGAGACAGGATGGAAGCCAGGCATCTGGCTGCCCCAGCTCAGGGTCTCTGGCTGGCCTGTTCCCACCTCCCACAAAGAGCCTGGCAGCACCCAGCTTCTGTACCCGGAGTCCTGACCCAGCTGCACACTATCCACTGCAGCCCATGAATGGCAGGTTCCTGCGTCGCAGGCCTGGGCCGAGTGACAGTGAGTGGCCTGGGCCGCTGAGGTCCCCTGAGCACCACCAGTTCCTCCCCACTAACCCCACACACCACCTAGCAGGCACTGTCCTGTATCCGCTCTGGCACAGAACAGGCACAGCCAGGGCACGGACAGCAGAGGACGGCAGGGTCAGCAATCGGCACATCATGCGAGGGTGGCACCCACGGACGCCCTTCCACACTGGCAGGGCCTGGACACAGGCCAGGGCCTCAGTCCTCACAGCCCGCGGCAGCACCAGCAGAGAACAAAGCAGCACCCAACACAAGAACTGTTCATGCTTTAGAAACATTCCTAGGTCCTACGGTGGCACTGTGGGCCTCAAGGTCTCTGTCAGATGGACCAGCAAGCCATACCCCAGCATCTCAAGGGAGGAGGCCCGGCAAGGCCAAGGTCACCCCCAAGGGTGACTTGCTAGAGTGAGGTGCCACCCAGCCCCACCGGCACACACTTGCGGTTGGAACAGAAGGATGAGATATATCTGTGTTCTGGGGATGGAACCCAGGGCCTTTGCACAGCTCTGCCTCCACAGCCCTTTTGATTTTTTATTTTGAGACAGGTCTAGCTAAATTGCCTAGGCTGGACTCAAACTTTATATCCCCCTGCCTCAGCCTCCCAGAGTTCTGGGACTACAGGTGTGTGCCACCACACCCAGTTTACTTCATCACCAGTAAGCCAGTCCAGGGGACAGAAAGAGGCAGCCAGCACAGCCTCCCCCTCCCGTCAGCCCACCCCCACCCTGGCCTGGCTCTGGGGCCCCCAGCTCCTGTGCAGCCAGGCAGTCCAGGCAGGCTTGGGAGGCCTCCGGCCTAGTACGGGAGGCAGCTGG